GATGAATTGTGTTAGTATTAATTGTTTTATTAATTAAATCTGCAGTTCTCGTTGCGGCCAGTGGGGGCGCAGTCTTCCGGAATCACTGGAGGAAGCAGCTCCGTGTCCTGCAGAGACAGACAGAGAGACAGACACAGACAGAGAGACAGACACAGAGACAGAGACAGGTGGGGGCTGTGTGTTTATTCCACGTGTTCTGTGTCTGAGAATGATCCAGAATTGTAATTTTACAGTTGGTATTTAGTTAATGGGGAGTCGTGCTATTGTTAGCCCCCTGAGCCAAGATGCTAAGATGCTAAGATGCTAGGCTAGTTTCCCTCTGTGTTACTTTGTTATTTTGGCATCTTTATGTTTTTGAATAGAGATGTGCTGTGTGGGTTTATGTGGGTGAATGAAAGGTCTTAAAGGCCTGAGCTGTGGCTATTGTCTGGTGCTTTACACTGGTCCACAGTATTATCTACAGAAGTTACTGTGAGAACTCTTTGAATATTGAAATATATTTCAATTTAGGATGAGATTGTATTTATTCAGATTTCATTTAAATATGATATTGTCCATCTATAGTGATGTATGCCCTTACTGTGTAATAACCAGGATACCATTTCAAATATATTGTATATTTGCTTGCGGGATAGAAAGACACCATTGTGTGGATAAAAACCAGCAGCTATTGAAGCCATGAATGTATCTCTAGGTGCATTTATTTGTTTGAATTAAACTGTATTAATGAAGAGTCAGGTACAGGTTGTGGCCTTCAGCATCACTTTCAATTCAAAGCCTGTGATTTCTTAGAACATGGTCAGAGCTGTCCTCTGCTTGTTTCAAACAGTTTTGCTTCAACATCTTGGCAGCAGTCTGCCATGTTAGATATTAGACAGAAATGTCCTCTCTCACTATGACAATAATATATCTGTGTGACTTGTGTTTCTGGCAGATCTACAGAATGGGCGTCACGTGTCATCAGTGTGGAAAGACCTGTCGCTGTGTCGCTGAGCTCAAAAGACACTACAGAACTCACACTGGAGAGAAACCATTCGAGTGTGGTCTGTGTGGGAAGGCGTTCACTGAAGCCGGACAGCTGAAGGTCCACACCAGGATCCACACCGGAGAGAAGCCTTACAGCTGCGACTTCTGTGGCCAGAGCTTTAGACAAGAGAGTAACCTCAAAGAGCACCTGAGCGTCCACACAGGAGAGAAAGCATTCAAGTGTGACGAGTGTGGGAAGAGATTCAGGAGCAAACGGCATCTGTCTTTGCATCAGCGAGTCCACAAAGAGAGGAGCCACCAGTGCTACGAGTGCGGAAAAGCATTTACCTCTTTATTTAACCTGACAGAGCATTACCGCATCCACACCGGAGAGAAGCCGTTCATCTGTGGAGACTGCGGGAAGAAGTTTACTCTGTTCTCCAACTACAAGCGTCACCAGAGGTTCCACACGGGGGAGAAGCCGTACACATGTGACCACTGCAGTGAGAGCTTCAGAACGGCCCAGGAGCGCACAGTTCACCACGGCAGCCACACGGGGGAGACGCCGTACGAGTGCCACGTGTGCGGACACGTCTTCACCACACTGGGAAACCTAAAGAACCACAGCAGGATCCACACAGGAGAAAAACCCTTCAGCTGTGATTGTTGTGGTCGGAAGTTTAGGCAAGCGGCTCATCTCAAACAGCATCAGATGATCCACACGGGAGAGAAACCTTTCGCCTGCGAAAAGTGTGGGAAGGATTTTCGACACGGCTCGGCTCATCGTAAACACGTTCAGACCTGTGTGGGGACTGTGCCGGGCCAGGCCTCGGTCTGTCCATGAGACTCAGACTGTGCCGGGCCAGGCCTCGGTCTGTCCATGAGACTCACAGACTGTGCCGGGCCAGGCCTCGGTCTGTCCATGAGACTCACAGACTGTGCCGGGCCAGGCCTCGGTCTGTCCATGAGACTCACAGACTGTGCCGGGCCAGGCCTCGGTCTGTCCATGAGACTCACAGACTGTGCCGGGCCAGGCCTCGGTCTGTCCATGAGACTCACAGACTGTGCCGGGCCAGGCCTCGGTCTGTCCATGAGACTCACAGACTGTGCCGGGCCAGGCCTCGGTCTGTCCATGAGACTCACAGACTGTGCCGGGCCAGGCCTCGGTCTGTCCATGAGACTCACAGACTGTGCCGGGCCAGGCCTCGGTCTGTCCATGAGACTCACAGACTGTGCCGGGCCAGGCCTCGGTCTGTCCATGAGACTCACAGACTGTGCCGGGCCAGGCCTCGGTCTGTCCATGAGACTCACAGACTGTGCCGGGCCAGGCCTCGGTCTGTCCATGAGACTCACAGACTGTGCCGGGCCAGGCCTCGGTCTGTCCATGAGACTCACAGACTGTGCCGGGCCAGGCCTCGGTCTGTCCATGAGACTCACAGACTGTGCCGGGCCAGGCCTCGGTCTGTCCATGAGACTCACAGACTGTGCCGGGCCAGGCCTCGGTCTGTCCATGAGACTCACAAAGGCTTCATGAGGACAGAGTGGAGCCTGCTCATTCGTGCCCATTTGTGTATTGCACTAAATCAGAACAGTCGTTATCTAGGAGGACTTTACAGAACTGTCGATTTGCCAACACAGATCAGAGAATCACAGTTGAAACACAGGAACTGCACTGATAAAAACACACAGACATTGGTGCATAAGTGTGGAGTGTCCTGGTGTTTCATGTGCTTACACTTTACAAAGTTGATCAAAACCATAATAAATCTATAGAAGCAAACAGCCCTTTGATCCTCTCCCTGGTTATCGCTGGACGACTCTATTGAACTGTTTCTGGAACAAAGAACTAAACTCGACTCATCGCAACTAATCCATTATTGCAACTATCTATTGTACTTTCTGGACTATAATATATTTAAAGAAGCACATGCTGTCCACATACAGGCTGTATAAGTCCATAAACTCTGACTTTACCACAATAAAAAAACACAAAGATACAGTTCTTTATTCCTGAAGTGACAGTAACATGAACCACACTGTTCCAAACCAGACATTACCGTGATGCACTACATTACCCATGATGCACCTGATTATGCCCCCTCCCCCTCATTAACAGAAGATAAAACTAAAATCTGTGTTTATACAAAATGTAAACTGTTCTAGATATAATGCAATAATGAGACAAAGAATAAAACATATAAAACTAATCTGTTAAATTTTATCTACACACACATACAAGTTTGTGTTACCTGGTGGGTCCCTAAGACAGGGCCGTTCCATATGGGACCCACAGACATGGTTTTAACTCCTAAAATCTTGCTTTTTTTAGCCAATACTGGGGTCACTTTAGAATTACTCTGCACTGATCTTTTTTACTGGGACTACTTTAAGTAATACAAAACATTCCAAAACAGTCAATACAAAACGGACAACTCTTTTACAGGATTTTATTTTAGATTTTTTTTTCGAAATGCAGTGATTCTATTTTTGACATAGAATTTAATGCCACGCCATGTCCGATGTGCTTTCAGACCGGATCATGCTGCGTCGGCTTTCAATGCAAAGTCATTGGTGACGCACGTTCGAGCGTCAAAACGCACAAACGTCTCTAAATGCACGCACGGACCGCGCTGGGAAGTCGAAGGGGAGGAACGCAGGAGATGGATTTTGCTCAACCTTTCCTCGGGACGTTCGTGCAGCAACCAATCAGAGAGCCGCAAAGTGGTCACGGGGACATTAGTGTCTGAGCGAGCAGACTGAACATACTGTAAACAGCCATAACAGGACCCACACCAGGACTAAACCAGGACTAAACCAGGACTAAACCAGGGGACACTGCTTCGAGTGTGTTCGCCGATGCGGAAGTACCGTTTAATAATAAAAAAAACGTATTGCGCACCTCCGTGAACACATACTACTGTTATATAAAGTCTCTGGAAGGTCTCTGAACACAGACACCCTGCAGAGCTGCCTTATTGGAGAAGATCTGTACACAAGAAGCCGCTAGCTAAACTCTGTTAGCATCAGAGCCCACCGGCTACTTCCGGCACTTCTGGCGCGCGCCAGGACCTCTGGTCTGAAAACCCCTGTGTCTGAAGACCCCTGTGTCTGAAAACTAGAGAACGTGCGTTTTAGCGCTGCCGGTCTGAAAACTTGCTGCCTGTCATTTAAGTGAAATTTCTTTATCGTATCGTTTTTTTTCCTGAAGGAGGAGCAATCACGGCAGATCATGGCCTCTGCATGAGTGAAGATCTATTATTTTGAGACGGATTAGCAGTCCATGTAATTTACTGTCTTTGGTTTTTCCTCAAATTGATGAAGATTTGAAAATTTTCTCTAAAAAGGGCGTTGCCTGGAGGACCAAGGGACAAGAAGGAGGGCTTAGAGCTGGGCGTGGTCTGGGCTGTGATTGACAGCTCACCAGTCACACACAAAAAAAACAGACAGTTGTCGTTGCTGCTTAAAGCAATAGTTTACACATCAGAAAGTCTCATTCCATCCTTGTTTGCACACTAAAATAATTGTAGAGCTACACACCTGCCCCTAATGCACACAATTATCTCAGAATTACTTTTAATTTTAATTAAATTAAATTTAATTCAATTTTAATCCACTAGATGTCGCCAGAATACTCCAACCTGCAGCTGGGGCGTGTGTGAGAGTTGGATTGTTTTATATCACTGGCGCAGACAGACGCACGTCACACACACCAACTGACGTCACACACACCAACTGACGTCACACACACACCAACTGACGTCATAGAGAATTTCAGAGTCAATGGAGAGGCCAAACTCAAATGTAGTACCACCAAAAAAGGTGGAGAGGGCGCCACACAGACGTTTTTTGGCTCAAAGTGAGATTTTATCTAATTTGAACTAAAATGTCAAAAAATGACCAGGATATGTAGAGCGCACTACAATTAAAATATTTATGCAGTTTATGAGTAAAAAGAAAGTTGATTTGGTGTTTAGTCATCAGTGTTGGGCACGTTACTTTGAAAAAGTAATTAGTTATAGTTACGAGTTACTTCTCCCAAAAAGTAACTGAGTTACTAACGGAGTTACTCCACTATAAAAGTAACTAGTTACCAGTAAAAGTAACTATTGCGTTACTTTTTCGTTTTGTTCTGGAACATAATGTGCACTCGACGTGCGCATTTTTACCTTTAACCTTTAACCTCAGTGAGTCTGAAATAGTGCCAATATTTCCATCTAGAAAAGTCTGTTTTGCCGCTGTAGTCCTGTTCACTCTTCATCTCTCTCTGTGCTGTAAGCACTAAACACCAACACGCTCCACTGTGAATGTGGAAACACCGGTGAAGCACTGACTTCAGCCCAATCAGATGAACATATTTATCATATAAATCAAGTGGACAATTTGTTTGGCTACAGCAAAATATGTTTCATGGCCGCATTGTTTGTTCATACAAAACGCAAAACTATGAGTTATGGGTCTTACCTTATAAATGACCTGCACAGACCACTTCAGTTCAGACCAGTTCTGTGTTTAAGTCCAGATAATAGTTTGAGCGTAGATATGTAATCCTCCATTTGGAAATGAGTTTTAAAAAGTAAAACAAAACGCGTGTGTCCTCCGTAAACTCCTCTGTTTTGCTAGGTGCAGCCGGGTGCATCCAATTTCTAAAATCAACCGTCTTACACTTCACCTCTCTTTCTTATCATTCCTATAGTCATTGAAAAATTACCGTAAGTGCATTTTAAATTATCTTAAAATGTGTTATATGTATGTTAGCCAAACTTGTTGCAGCCCTTAGCAGATAAACCAGTAAGAGAAAGGAGCTTTCAGATGGAATTGTATGCAGCCGACTTCTGCGCTCACATGCGCTCCTCTGAGCCCTCACGGTGATAGAAGCTGTGGTTGAGCGCGACTAAGACCCATATTTATTTCAAAAACACAATTTATGACCATCCTCTCAACTGTAGACATGTGGATTGTAAAGGAAATATGTTTTACATCAGCCAATAATTGCTGAGAGGTTTTCTCATCCTCCCTTCTCTCATGACAACACGCGCACGAGTCCTATCATGAAGTAAAAAGATAAGTTCATTGTGCGTCTTTAGTAACGCGCAGTAACGGGATGTCGGAAATGATAACGGCGTTATAGTTACACTCAAAGTAATTAGTTAGATTACTCGTTACTGAAAAAAGTAACGGCGTTAGTAACGGCGTTACTAGTAACGCCGTTATTCCCATCACTGTTAGTCATTGAGTGCCACAAACGTAATTTTACGGAAATGCTTTTTTTTCTTTTTTTGAAAGCAGACACCTTAACACACATTATGTGTAAATTTGGGAATGCTATGATAAATTTAACTGCTTATATGACGATCTAAAACTCATTAAACACTTCAACATGTATTATTTAAATTATTGTTCATAACGCAGCTTTGAGTGGTTTGCCTTTGAGGCAATGCGGCAATCACTGGTCCTGGTCAAAGTCAAAAAAGATATTTACGTGGGTTTGTCACTAGGTGGCAGTCTTGATTCATCCTTTAGCGGAAATCTCACTGCTGCAGTGTTTTGCTGCTGACGGAGATGAGAACAAAGTATCAAAACAAGTCAGTGCGGTGCGCGGTGCGCCAGACACGCGTGATGAGCGTCACAGAAGACATCACAGAAGTGAGTCAACTTCAGCGACTCATGCAGAGGAGGAAGGTTGTGAGAGGGAGTTTCTCTGTAGGAAGGTGAAGGGAGGCGCTCGGAAGGAGGTGCTCAGGCTCAGAGATAACACGGGCTGATCTGAGCGGAATACATAGTTCCCACAGACCAATGAATGTCACATGACCTCCTCGGAGACGCCATCTTTGATGGCACGCTGCTGTGTTTGTGCATTCCATTAAACAGAAGAATGAGAATAAATGTAGATATTCAAACGCAAATTGGAAAAAAAAGGGCAACTTTTGAGCAAATAATTGTATATTAATACAATGGCACCACAGTTTAACGTGCTACGGACATGTTTTACATATTTGATCAAATTATGCAGCAAAAATTAAAGGTATATAGGAGGATTTTCCCAATTTTTAGGAAAGTTCCGCCTTCTCCACTTTTTGAACGAAACTCTCTGGTCTTATTGGACGAGGCCGTATCAGCAGAATGATTGACAGTTGGGAGGACCAATAGTCTTGACGATCCACCCGGAAGTAGAAAATCCTCCTATATACCTTTAACAAGCAATGCAAACATTTCTCTAAAACTTTAGATTTAATACCAGTTGGAGCTCCATTTAATTATTTTAATTATATTAACAATTAATTTAATTAATGCTAATGCCACACGGACACTCTGGATTGCTGTTATTGTTTATTTCCGCGTTTTTGACCGTATGTTTTGGTGAATGGTGGGCAACTGATTTTTCCAGGCGTAAAGAGCAGTTTATTTTATGACACAGATCTTTTTACAGAAGCAATGCTGTTTGTGAACATTGTTTTAGCCCACCATAGAACTATTATTATCTATTTAATACATTTACGTTGCCCTCGAGAGCCTCGGACGCGACACCGATCCTCC